CTCCATTTTCGGAAACCCAGTAAATTACGGAAGACCAATTCGCATAGCCCACCATGCACAGTTTGTGACAATCTCGTTCGGCTTGTTCACTCGAAAACAGTCGCAATGCATAATCTGTCACAAATTAATTGATAGACTTTTAAGGTCCATTAATAATTTAAACGCTAATTCGTTATCCGGAGAATCCATTAAACACGTCATATACACTTTGATTCGCATCCGAATTCGAAACCATATAATAATATCCTATAATTTAGTCAATGGCGTACACATTTTCCGATTCGATTTGTGATGGACGATTAGCCCAGGAGAAAACGATTATAACGCCAAATATACTGTCAAAAACAGAAGAAATGCATGATTGGAGAAACGTCTGTCTACATTGCGGTATTACAATACAAGGAAAAGTCACTAAATTCACAACTGCATATTTGGACAGGTCGGTGACTCTGATGGTCAGAGAAAACCAGAGTAATCCACATGAGTAGGGGTATGCCGGTATGCACAGATTACAGTCGTCCGCGAAGTATTGAAAAAGCCTGAGATATCTGAATCTGAGAATAGTATAGATTGTTTTATTAGGATCAAAAGTGACACTTTGTTTGACAAGCGAATTTTGCATTTGCGAGGCGGCGCGTTTAGCGAAGCCGAGCGAAAGCAAAATTTTAGAAACATCAACGTCTCATTTGATACCACAGATACAATTTCCCGTTTGTAAGTCAATACCAAAGTCAATATTCTTCCATTAAACAGATCAGGTGTCTATAAAATCTCTTGTTCACATCCTAATTGTTTGGCACACTACATTGGTCATAGTGGAAGGAGAATTCAAACTCGCGTTAATGAACATGTTAAACTGATTGACAGCTACAAAAATTCTCCCAGAGATTTATACAATACAAAAAGTTCATTTGCTAATCATATCCTTAATTGTAATCATCACTTTGACATAAATAATGACCTTGACGTTTTACATATATGCCATAAGGGCACCTATCTAACTTTATAAGTGATATTTGAAATTAATGAATCAATTAAAGATGACAACATTATTTCCTTGAGCGAACAAACAAACTTTGATTGCCAAAAATTTTTCAACGCCCTCAAATTCTAACGAGGATTCTTTACTAGTTTAGTACTTTGCCCTATCTTGAATCCTTCCGCAGTTTACTTGTTGTTCCTGAACATTTTTTGTAAAAAATGTTGTCTTTCATTGACATGTGACTCATTACGGCCCTGCTTCTTCTCGCATCTCACCCGATATTCTTTGTTTATGCCACAGGACAGTCTTGTGTCACTTGTCATTGGAGACATACTTCACGTACCCCACGTCAAGTTAATCTACCCCCTCTTCACCTCTCTACCGCGTCATGTTAACCTCGATTCTCATGATGGGCCCCATTCTATATTTGATCAATTGGATGAACAAGTGTTGGGATCCTCCATAAAGACCCCTTTGGGCCATGGGCAATTTGTCCTTCATTATTTTTTTTAATGATGTAAACTGTATAATATTAATATTATTGTTGCCTTTCTTTTTTCACTTCCACGTGAGTATACATAACTTGTAGAAATTGTCATTCAAAATATGCTTCTGCTGATGAATATCGGTCACGTTTCAAATCGGCCCACAAAGTTACCAACTTCAACTTTTGATAGGAGTCGAGTCAACCATTTACCATTCTGGTATCACCACTGTGGTCGGACGACTGACTTGATACAACATGAGCTAATACCTATCGACTTATTCTTTATTATTTTGTGTAACTAAAGTAACTCAATTGTGTTTTATTTATCCTAATAATAATAATGCCACATACTGATGCGAGTTCCTTGTCACAAAATATTATGTTTCCACCAACTTTAGTGGAATAAAGTTAGTATTCATCTAATAATACCACTACAAAATTAAAATCATGTATTAAAAGTGATTGTTACGAAAAAATCTGTCGTTTTAGTTTTTTGGATTTTTTCACACTAGAATATACATTGTGTGCGATTTCACGCCTTTCTTACTTTGTAAGCGGACAATCGATTTTGAAAAACACAATGTCTTTGAAAATGTAGACAAACCTGAAACATTCACTCGCAAGGTCTACTTCTATTTGCTGAAGGGATCGAAATTTCAAAAATAACTATTAGGCTCTTTTTTAAATCAATGAAATCGAAGTTTACCATTTCTCTAGAATTTTTGAGATTTTATCTCCTCGTTTCTACAATAATAAAAAATATGAAATGATTTCAATGTATGTGGTATATACTACGAAAAAATCAGATGTTTTGACCCAAAATGTCATTGCGTTTAAGTTTATTGAAAAAATATCAAATTTCCATTCAGCTCATTTGGACATTTTGGGAATAAATCTGATCCCGTTTTCAAAATGAAGATGGAACAGATTTGTTCCGGAAACGCCCAAATAAGTTGTATGAAAATTTGATATTTTTTCGATAGGTATACTTTTTCTCCACTTCAAAAATCTCTCAAAATAATATGTCACTGACTATCGGTTGCATTTTTCTCTTAGGTTAGATGTAGGGGACGGGGGGGAATTTCGTTTTGGAATTTTCGGATTTTAACCAAGATAGACTGAGAAATTTAGAAGGAAATAATATCAGAAAAAATGTTAGCTCTAAGAGCTGAAAAGAGTAAGGAAGATTGTTTTAATACGCTCAATAAAATCTAATCACATGATAAAAAAAAAATCTGTATTAACTCATTTCCTATTATATCGGATGACAAAAAAAGTTGGCCATACTGAACCCCTGAATGATATTTTAGATATGAACGATAAAAACAGATTCATGAACATCGTTTTACTCGAGGTCATTATTTGTGAAAATCATTAGTTCTTCTTACCTTGGGAGAAATATGTTTCCATAAATGCATCGCCCAATTCGTTCAACAAATATTCAATTTTGGAGTTGAACGCCATATTCCGACCGATCGAAGGGACACGAACTGAAAGTTGTCTTAAAAAACTGATAATCAAATCATCGAAATCGATAATATGTAATCTTGATAACCAATGCATTATCACCATCCTTCAAGATATTATTTTCATCGAAATAACTAGGCGAGGAAGATTAGTATTGTGATACAGTGATGGTAGATCAGAAGGCAGTTATTGTAGGCAGCTGTTAGCAGCTATTTGTGTAATAATACCGAGGAACTCATACATAATATATACAGGGTGTCCCAAAAAGGCATGTATAACATCTTAGTACAGTCCGATATTTCTCCATTCCCGAGTTAGAGGTTGGTGAGGTTAAAAAATAAAAATCGATAAGTACACTCCTAGAAGGTATTGTGAAAAATCAATTTTTGCACTGCTAATTCACTGACCGAATAACATACACGAAGATAACAGCAAACATGTTTTATTCATGATAATTTAAATACAGGGTGATCCACGGTGGATGGCCTATTAGAAGTATCTGGAGAACGAAAGGAAAGAAAATTCTGAAAATTGGGATGCTTTGATAATTGAACATTCTCTATCCGTGTAAAATATTTTTATCGATACAGTGTTGCCACTTCCATCAGAAACAACTAGCAACCTCGTTATTTTGAATGGAACACCCTGTATTTTATTGCATTTTTAGACTCTCCCTGAAGAGCTGATTTCATCAATGTATCACACTTGGGGTCTAGCAGGAATGATTACAGAGATGTAGGGTGTTCAATATCGATTTTTTTTTAATTTTAGGGTTTTTTTGTATCGAAACTATTCATTATCGATCAAAATGGCTTACATGTCCCTATCTTTAGTTTCGATTCACTATCTACCGACATTTAATTGAAACAGATTCCAATTTAACTCCAGTAGCTGATGAATCAAAAGTTGAGATAGGGACATGTAGGCCGTTTCGATCGATAATGAAAAGTTTCGACACAAAAAAATCCAAAAATTGAAAAATCTCGATTTTGAACACCCTATATCTCTGTAATAATTACTGCTAGACCCCAACTGTGATGCATTGATGAAATCAGCTCTTCAAGAAGAATCTAAAAATGCAATAAAATACAGGGTGTTCTGTTTGAAATAACAAAGTTGCTAGTTGTTTCTGATAGAAGTGGCAACACTGTAGCGATAAAAATATTTTGGACGGATAGAGAATGTTCAATTATCAAAGCCTACCAATTTTTAGAATGTTCAGTCTTTTCGTTCTCCAGATACTTCTAATAGGCCATCACCCTGTATACTGGTGCGGCATCGAACACTATAAAAACGAAATATCTCGAAACCGTCTTACTTCAGTACATTTTCACAAGAGTACCATTTTTGCTTGAAAATGTCCGGAAAATCATTTCTCCACCGAAATAAGTTATAAAATACACTGGGGAAAAAATGTTTCGCATCTCAAGAAACCCCCGGATACCAATTTTTGAAGTGATACGTTTAAAAATTTCCATAAATTCTGAAAATTTGATTTTTATTTTTCAACTTAACCACCCTGTATCTCTGAATCGGAGCGATTTGGGACTAGGGTGATTGGCTTAAATCGGTAAATTTGACCTCAGGAATATGTGCTGAGATGTTGTACAGACCTTTCAGGGACACTCTGTATAATTACTACCTCGGCTACTGGTAAGTAGTTAAGATTATTTGATCCTAAAGACTAAAAGATATGATACATGGACAGTTAATCACTTTCAGTTGATTCCGCTATAGTTTGTAAATCGAAGTATTTACTTTTGTTTCTTTGTGGCCGAATTAAGAGCAAAATAGTTTTTTTTAATGTTAACTAAACTTCGAAGAAACGTTAACTCTTTTTTACATCTGGGTAGTTATTATCAATAGTCTAGACAATAATTTGAGTTACTTTTTATTTATAGAATGTAATTTGTCACATTGTTGACATATCTGTATAATTGACAGAATGTTGACGGCTTTTCTACAAAATAATTCACGAATCAAAACTTCTTAAGTTTTTGTTATTCAGTTGGATATAATAAGTAATTACACAATTAATTGATGAAAAAAAGTAAATAATACGGAATGCAGAACGTTACGAAAATCTCGAAAAGAAAACAGGCCTTTATAGTGAGCAAGTTAACAAGCAACTTCTCAATAACTACCAAAAATGGAAACTGCAATACAACCGTCACATCCAAGTCATTTCTGAACTGTATGTCCACCAAATGTACCGAAAAGAACCCAGTACAAAAATCTTGCTCACAGCAACGAGAATCAAGCACTCGTGCATTTCTATCTACCGCTGGCTCACAAGGAAGAGCTTGCGATGAAAAAACCATAGAAAAACATTTAGCTGTCCAAGCAATGATAAGAGGCTACCAGGTTCGTGGACATTACCTTGCCCAAGTGGACCCTCTCGGTATATCAGATCAAGTGAGCGATTCAGATAGAGCCGGCAGCCCCCCCAAAATCATCTTAGAACACCACAAGCTGCAAGAAAGCGACATGGATACGGAGTTCAAACTGCCACCGACTACTTCTATAGGCGGCAAAGACACCGCCTTACCTTTAAGAGAAATAATTCGGCGATTGGAACAAACCTACTGCAAACACATCGGTTTGGAATATATGTTCATCAATAGCGTTGAGAAGTGCGATTGGCTGAGACAAAAATTCGAAACCCCGAGCGCAACGGACATCAGCGCGGATGAGAAGAGACTGACTCTTGCCAGACTAACCAGAGCTACCCAGCTGGAAAAGTTCATGGGGCAGAAATATCCGAACGAAAAACGCTTCGGGATCGATGGTTTGGAAATGCTCATACCCTCCATGAAAACGATAATAGATAAGTCTACCGAACACGGCGTAGACAGCGTTATAATCTCGATGGCGCACCGTGGTCGCCTCAACGTCTTGGCCAACGTATGCCGCAAACCTCTACATCACATTTTCACGCAATTCTACGGATTGGAAGCCGCCGATTTGGGCTCAGGCGATGTCAAATACCATCTGGGCACCAGCATCGATAGACTCAATCGGGTAACGAACAAACACATCAGAATAGCACTGCTGGCCAATCCTTCTCACCTCGAAGTAGTAGCGCCCATCGGCCAAGGCAAAGCTAGAGCCGAACAGTTCTTCAAGGGAGACAAAGAGGGTAAGACGGTTTTATCCATCATACTGCACGGTGATGCCTCGATGTGCGGCCAAGGGGTTGTATTCGAAACGTTACAGCTTACGGATTTGCCTGCTTATACCACTCACGGAGAAATCCACATTATCGTAAACAACCAAGTTGGTTTCACGACTGACCCTCGTTTCGCAAAATCTTCTCGTTATTGCTCCGATGTCGGCAAAGTAGTGCATGCTCCGATCATTCATGTGAATGCTGACGAGCCAGACAGTGTGATCCACGTTAGTAAAGTTGCTGCGGAATGGAGAGCTAAATTCGCGAAGAGCGTTGTAATAGACTTGGTTGGATACCGAAGATTCGGACACAATGAGGTGGACCAACCAATGTTCACTCAGCCTTTGATGTATCAAAAGATTAATACAATGAAGAATTGCATGGATAAATACTCAGAACAACTAATCAAAGAACGCATTGTTACCAAAGAAGAAGTGAACGATGTTCAGAGCAAGTACGAAAAAATATGTCTAGACGAGTTTGCCATCGCAAGTAAACTAACTCAGATAAAGAACCAATGGTGGTTAGATAGTCCTTGGAAAGGATTCTTCAAAGGTAAAGATCTACCAGCCGATTGCAAAACTGGTGTCAAAGAAGAAACTTTAATCCATATTGGCAAGCATTTTTCTTCGCCTCCCAAAGACACCAAGTTTATTATCCACGAAGGACTCCTACGTGTTCTGAAAGCTAGAATGCATCTACTAGAAGAAAAGAAGGTGGACTGGGCTACAGCCGAGGCTATGGCTTTTGGATCTTTGCTCAAAGATGGCATCCACGTCAGGCTCTCCGGAGAAGATGTCGAGAGGGGAACGTTTTCGCAACGGCACCACGTTCTTCATCATCAAAAAATCGATAAAGCTACTTATCGCCCTTTGGACAATCTATATCCCGACCAAGCACCTTACACGGTGTGCAACAGTAGCCTCAGTGAATACGCTATACTGGGTTTCGAACACGGCTATTCCTTGGCGAACCCAAACTGTCTGGTTCTTTGGGAGGCAGAATTCGGGGACTTCTCCAATGTAGCACAATGCGTTATCGACCAATACATTTCGGCTGGAGAAATAAAATGGATACGTCAGTCTGGACTGGTGATGCTTTTGCCACACGGAATGGAAGGTCAAGGGCCGGAGCATTCGAGCGCTCGTTTGGAAAGGTTCCTTACGATGGCTGCGGAAGATCCTGACACTTTACCACCTGATGGTGAAGACGTAGCTATGCGCCAGCTTCACGACACCAACTGGATCGTTGCCAACCTAACATCACCTGCCAACTATTTTCACATCCTACGGAGACAAATAGCTCTTCCTTTCAGAAAACCACTGATCATAATGTCAGCTAAAGGACTTTTGAGACTCCCTGAAGCAAGAAGTTCAATTAGCGACATGACTGAAGGCACCGAGTTTCAGCGCATCATACCAGAACAGGGACCGGCATTCCAAAAACCAGAGAAGGTTGAAAGGTTGATTTTTTGCAGTGGAAGGGTGTTTTATGATGTTGCGAAAGCTATAAAGGAGAAAAAGTTGAATTCGAGAATCGCTTTGACCCGAATCGAGCAACTAGCACCATTTCCGTTCGATTTAGTTAAAAAAGAGTGTGAAAAATATGGCAAAGCTCAGATTGTTTGGGTACAGGAAGAGCACAAAAACCAAGGTGGTTGGAGTTTTGTGGAACCAAGATTAGAAACTATTCTGGGTTCCAGCAGAGGAGTGTCTTATGTAGGAAGACCTGTATCTGCAAGTCCGGCAACAGGAAATAAGCAGCAGTATCTGAAGGAGCTTGCCAATTTCCTACAAGAAGCTACTGCATTCTAAAAATGTAATTCAAAACTAAATTATTCGTTGAACAAGAAGCGCAATATACTATTTTATTTCACTAAATGTCAAATCTGTAAAAAGAGGTATATTTTTTGGGCAAGATCTACAATTTCATACAATGTATCAGCAATTCATTGAAGCTTGTTTGTTTCTGCAATAATATCCTGGAATATAAGTCCAAACATTATGTCGAATGGTATTTTTTTAACCAATTAAAATTGTTTTTTCAGTGTACCTCGTAGATAAATGTGATTTGGCCAAGACCATTCAGTTTTTTTCGAAAAATATTGATGAAAAATTCATATTTTTCAAATGAAACCCCTATGAGATAACTGTACCTGTCTCTATAGAATCGGGCGATATTGGATTTCACATATCGATTATTGATAAGTTAAAACATATCGATTGTTATCGATTTATCGACATATCGATAATTTTTTTATAGCTTGGTGCGCACGAAAGGGAGGATAGGGAGAGGAAGTAGGTGTTGAATTTTTTTTTTACTTTTGGAGATTATAAGTTCACGAAGATACTTCCGTAGGCAATGAATTCCAGAGCTTTCCCGTTCTATAGAGAAACGAGTTTTGATATAGTGCTGTTCGACATATTTCGAGGTTGACAACGAAAGGATGTGCTGACTGCGCTTGTCGAGTTCGTCTGGCTGGTATTGCTAGTCGTGCAATGATAACAGAGATTTCTGAGGAACATTTTCCGTGGAAGTATCTATGGAAAAGTGATAGGTCGCCCACCAATGATGTCGAAGTGTTAGTGAGTGTGGCATCTCCCACCAGGCGAATGACTCTTCTCTGGATGGATAAGAACATCAGAGTGTTTGGGTGCTGAACCGTTACCATCGAGGCAAATATGTGAGAACATGTCGTATCTGTGCTTTGTAAATCATGAAAAGCTGTTGAGGTGGATGGAAAAAGAGGTAGGAGTTGGATTTTTTCAACTTTTGAAGATTATAAGCTCACTTACCTCTATAATATATCAAATAGGTAGGTAGGTAATATTGATAAAGATAATTATTATTAATAAGGGCATCGAAAACTATCGAAAATTGAAATAAAAAATCCAGGTCCGTATTTGAAAAAATCCAGGTCCGTATTTGAAAAAATAAAGTTGATGATGGCCGCTCGAAGAAGAAACGTCGGTTTTCCAATTTGACATATCCATTTTGTAGAGGAGGAAAAATGGCAATGATGAAGTGACATTCATTCTGAAATATCTCCTCAAATAAACTGAGTGATAAATAAAAACGATTATGCTTTTTTTCGGATAACTCCGGAAATAATTGAATTCTTCACAATTTCAAAGCAGCATTTTGTTAAGCATGAAATGGTGCAACTTTGCCCTAATTTAACCTACTCTGTAGACAAATATCTAAGTCTAGAATAATTGACAACTAAATTAAGAAAGGTGCGGTACCTATTCCTGGAAGTATTCCTTATCCCTTGCTTAATCCTACATTTAATTGTCAATTACCTATTTTAGGTAGGTAAGTTCAATTTGTATTTTAATTTACCTATCAGTTCAGGCTATGGGGTATTGGTATCAATAATTATTATAATAGATGGTTGATTTATGTCCAGATAGATGATAAGTACCTTCCTAATGTAGAACCTACATATCTGTGTAGATTGGCGTACTCACCAAAAATTACAAATAAAGAGATAGGTAATGAGGAGGGTAATAATTTTAATGAAAGATAATAAAATAAATTAGATACCCAATGATTCAATGAAACTACTAAGTTCGCATTATATTCTAGGTAAATATCATTTCAAATCAAATTATTCTTCTACTAGATTAGGAGTTCAATTCAAATTCATGTTCATGAGATGTAAACAGAAAAGAAACCTCTACAATGCACCAACATGACACAAATAAAGGGTTTTACGTTTACGAGTTTCACTCTGGAAATCTATTGTTTCTGGAAACTATAAGTGAAAAAGTACTGCAACAAACGAATGGTGCCTATTATTTCAACAACTGCCTTCAATTTCGGCCACTTCGAACGAGTTTAGAAATTTCTTCGGTAGGGTTTTAAAGCAAGCTGTTCAATGTTTTGGGATCACACGCGCTTGCATGGTAATATTTTGATCTCATCTGGCGAATTATCGCGATTAAATGGAACAAAATTATACTATTTCGATGCATAATTAACTAAAGAATCACTTACCAGGTGCTTTGTTCGCGATTTTATTAAAACAAGTGGTAAAAACTTCATATAAATGGTGCATAGGTTCATCATCACTGGTAGCCATTTTGGGACACTACACACACTCACTAGTCACTACACACTACTGACAAATCAACGACACCCAGCCGCTAGTAAGTTGTCAAACTGTCGGCGGGAAAATTTAAAAGATTTTCAACGGAAATATTCATATTGGTTTTAATTTTTTGTATTCTACTGAATTCCTCAATGTGATCCTTATTGTGAAAATGTTTATTTCATTACAGGTACGCCACTCATGTTCATTTTAACAAATGTGATTGATGGGATGAAAGTACTGTTTCATAATATGAAAACATAAAAGAGGCTGTTGCTGTGATGTTGCTTGGTATTTATAACATGAACATGATCATCAAAACAGGGTCAACAGGGAGAACAGCAATTCATTGAATGTCCTCCTCTTGTGTCCATCAACAATTTGCTGACTGTTTTATCAGTTTTATCTTTATCGTTTATTGTTTTCTAGGAATTCTAGAAAAGGTCGTCAATAGATGGCGCCATTGCGAGTTGGCTATGGTGGTTTTCGCGTTTAGGTTTCTAGCAGAGATAAACTATGAATAAAATAGATGTTTCTAGTTTCTTCGGTTCTTCAGTATGTTATGGAAACTATGACATTAAATGACTGAACAAATTGATGCTTATATAATATATGCATATCGCATATAATAACACACCTATTTTGAATAAAATTCTTACCCCATTACAAAATTCATATCAGAATCATGTTTGTCATTGAGTATTATGCATAGATTCTCAGATTATAATATATACCCACAGATTAATGCATTGGTCGTGAGCATTATTGTCTTATCAAGTGAAATCACTTAGCTCATGGGATAGGTAGGTATATCAATAAAAATGCTGTAAAACATTTCACCAGATATATTGATTATTATATATTCCAATAGTATTTCAAAAAAAAACATGACTAGGTAATGAAATATGGGAACAATCCACTTAGGTACGACAACAATTATAATAGATTAATTTGGCTAGTTATTCTGTTTCTAGAATATGCAAATATAGCATTACAAAAAATATTCCTATTGAGAGTGGTTCAAAGGAATAGGTATCAAAGGAAAAACATATTTTTAATTGACTATTGTTAAGCAAAACAATGTTTTAATTTACTAGTAATCCGTTTCAGTTTTCTTCTGAAAAACGTCCTTCATTGATCTCGTCTTCTGCACTTACTCCTGGTTGACCATCATTCAAGCTCATATTTTCCATATTCATCTCAACGCCTAAAATAAAAAATCAAAAACTGTAAATTTCAAATATGGGTATTCAAAAGATAAAAAAAATACATATAAAAGTGAGTTCAACTATGAATACTAAATGTCAGAAGCTGCAGGCACTTTATAGTCAATGAATGATGATGAATGTTTTTCATCTTCATAAGTAGGTACTTCTCAAGCAGATTTCAACATTATTTTTCATAATAAGATATTGATTATTACACAAATAATACAACAGTAAGTACTGAATGTGGTTAGTATTTTTAAAAGTCCACGAGATGAATAAGGAACTTTCGGATATTTTTTAAAGTACCTACATCAGATGATTACCTATGTTTGAATTAATGCCAATCACTAATTTCCTCAAACACCTATTAAATTTGGTGTAGAATATTTGGTCAGTCTCATTATCGAAAAAATACTTAATTATGATCCAATATTTTGAAAACTTACCATTTCCTAATGATAACATTGGGAAATTTGAATAAATATATCTAGTCACAGATATCAGAGAATTGCAAAACCTAGCAAAATATCTTATGGCAGTCCTTAGGTAGCCTAAAATAATATCTAGCTGTACTATCTACTATATTGCCCTTAATGTTCAGAAATTCAGTTGTAATGCACATAACAAATTATGAATAGGTAGCTATAATAGAAATTATGATAACTTTCAGATAAATATTATTGTGTCTAGAAGTATACAAGTTGTCTCAGTTTTCTTGACATTTACAGAAAATTCCAGGCGAATGATTCTCAAGTGTAAATAAGCGGGCCAGGATTGAAAAAATTAAACACCATGAAAATGCCAGGAAATGCTTGTTTTACTTTTTATAAGGCTCCATTAGATTTCAGGAGGAAACTTTGGAAAAGAAAATCGTATTATTTTAGGTAAATTTAGACCAAAATTCTTCTCTGCATGCATGTGGTGTTTAACTGGGACACTCTTTTCAATGTATTTATTAGATTTTGAGATATTTATGTTGAATTCATAAAGTCCATAGCCAATAAACACCCTACATAAAAAACTTGCACATTAATAGCGAATTCCAATGGCAGGAACTAAAATTGTTTTGTGTTGAGTGTTTCTCCACTGAGTGTACATTTACCTATGTCACTTGCAATACGAAGGAAACATATACAGGGTGGAAGACAGGAACCTGACGTTTTTGCAAGGCAATACAATTATTTTAATACACAAAATTTGAAGATAAATATCACTTGTGGAAAATGACTTCAGTTAAATGTTGTCCATCCCCCTGAATGCAGTTTTCACAACCTGTTTATCGGAAGGAAACAGGATTTCCATCTTTAAAAATATATTATTCAAGCTGTTGAAGTTCGGCTACTAAAAAGTGACTTTTATCGAAAAAATGTGATGTACCTATCAATATCAATCAATGTCTTTTGCCTTCAACAATATCCTTAATGTTTTGCATCAGTTCATTATCAATTTTTATTTTCTAATATTTCCGTTATTTTCTTCCACGAGAGTACATAACCACAGTGAATTCGATAGTCTCACTCTACAATTTTTTTTTAGTTATATAAATTTCTTGTAACACGTCATTCTGCTGATGATGGACTGATGATAGTACACATGTTCAGATGATTCTGATATTAAAATTTTTGGGGATGACTTAGTGTGTGTTGTTTCCTGGATTTCAAATTAATATAATCATTATTATTTTAAAAAATGACAAACTGGCGAGTATAACAGCATGTCTTACTTCAAACGCCCCCCCCCCCCCTCTATATCTCAACTATTAGTCCTGCGATTTGTACCAAATTTGGACAGGTATGAATACATTTCAATATGACCGGTTTTCCAGATCCTTTCGGACAGTGCCGTGCTTTTTCATTTGAATAAAAAGGGGATCATGAGATCATATTAGGAATTTTTTTGCAAGAAAACTAACTTGATATTATTGTTCCCAATGCTTTTGAACCTTCAATGCAAAAATATCCTCATTCCAAATTAGCAGGATTGGCTTAATTTTTTTCATTTTCAGCCTCGAAAAATAAGTGAATTCAAATTAACTGCAAATTTTGGAACGTCCAATGGCTCCGGTAGATTAGAATAACATGATTTAAAAGAGAAAAAAAAACAAGACAAACTGTTCAAATTTCAGCATTTGATACAAATAAGAATTAAAATGTTAGAAATTTTATTCCAGAAAGAAATATAACATGGACCCATTATATAAAAGGTTATAATATACTGTGATTCTCTCATTGATTTGTTATTCTACATGGTTTTCCGAAATACGACGCAACACGTCCAAAAACAGTTTTTTTCCGGACTTGTTGCAGACTCGCCGTTGCAGTATTAATAATTATTTCGTTTGGCATAAATGCTGTTGAGATGTGCCTGTTTCTCTGAAACCTTTTATAGGAATCATATGAAAGTTCACATATATCTAGGTTTGAAACCATGAAGAACATTATTATGAGGTCAGTTTTCCTGTAAGTAAAGTCCTAATATGATTTCATAAAAAACTAGGTACCCTTTTTTATTTCAATGAACATGCACAGCAGTCTAACTAAAATGATATTCGTCTCTGAAAAACTGATCATATTGAAGATTTTTCATACTGGTCCAAGTTTGGTAAAGATCACATGACTTATATCTAAGATAGAGTGGGAGGAGCGTTTGAAATGAGACAAGGTATGTGGAAACCCAGTATACCCAACTCAAAAATTTACATACAATAACTACAAAAATATCGGATTGTGAACAAGAATGCTACCCTGAAAATTTCTGGAACATTCAACATAATGGGTATTTTTATAGGAACCAAAGAGCATTTTCCACATTTTAGCCACTTTTTCACAACTTATTGTAGATTGTAATAGTTCAAAATTTCATTTTGAAATCAAAACATGTGGAAGTTTTGTATTCTTCATCTTACCCCTCACTGTTATGGGTCCTTTAACTCTGCAAGTATTATAAGATCCACAATGAGTACACTTGAAACCTACAACATGAAACTTAACACTGCTTTCCTGAAAAAATGATATTGATTAATTGGTTGGAGCAGAAATCATTTTTTTTTTTTCATTTTCTAATGAATACTTATAGCTGGGCCAAATTATTACCATCATGTTTATTTCCCAGAAACAATTAGACATATGTTCATGACAGAGAATATTAAAAATTGAATACATGACAAACCCAAAAATGTTACCTTATGACAATCTTTGCAGAGAATCTCAACATAGCAATTACTATACTCAGGAGGCATAGGAGTACTCTCCACTTCTGAGTCCCAGTACTTCCAAAGCTGTTCCATGTTCATTAAGGAAGTCTGGCATATGGGACAGGCATAAAGACCAGCCTTCAGTAACTGCTCAAAGCAAGTACGATGGAGAAGATGGCCACAAGGCGGTATGTGACAGGGAATTCTTGAGGTATGAATATCATCAAGACATACTGGACAGTTGGCTCTAGAGACATTTTCAACACACTAAAATGTGAAGCAGAAATTTGAATTAATAGAAATCTCTAGTAAGAAAAAAATTGTGTCAGGTATACTGATGTGTGCAATAAAATATCAAATATCAGGATGTTCCATTAAAAAAAAAACTTTTACACACACTTTGAATAAACACAACGAAAATGAAGTTCAGCTGGGAATGATTGAAAGATAACAAAATCCAATTCAAGATGTTATTCTGGAATTTTCAATGTCTTCATTAGTTTTTGACAAACTGAGTGCAGAAATTTTGAAACCTCTAGAAATTCACCCTAACCAAGTCTTATTGGAATGGGGATCTACAACAAAAGGAATTCAGTTAAATAGTGTATAATTGGCCTAATTCCAGCCACTATCGGTAATAACATTTATTCACCTATAAGTAATAAAAATATTGTTGGAGAATGCATATTAGATTTTCACCACTCTATCAGCCACTCTATCTGCCAATAAATTCTAATCTAAGAATATTCACCTTGTGAATATCATTATGTTGCTAAATTCAGTGTAACATACTTTGCAGGAAAGAATACTTATATATGACTAATATATGAGTATCTGATTCATGAAACAATCCATCATTCTATGAAGATCCATTGGTTTTGGTATACTGAGAAACAGGGTGTAGATTCTAAGCATATTTTGTAATACCTTGAATTCTGAATGTACAGTTCAAATAAAAAAAGGAAATTTCATTTAAATCTGCTGAAGCAGTTTTGAGCTATACAGGGTGTCCCTAGACCAGTGGGACAGTTGAATACCTCCTGAACCAGTAGGAATTTTCAAAATATTATAATTTCACATCATATCGCATTATGAGTGCTAACTTTGGGAATGACTATATTTTCTACGAGGGGCGCAAGAAAGGCTCACAAAATCGAACATACATTTTTTCAAATGGAACACCCTGTATTTCATTGCATTTTCATATTCTCCTTGAAGAGCTGAATTCAGCGACCTAGCACACTTGGGGTCTAGCGGGAATGATTTCCGAAATATAGGGTGTGGAAAATAGAGATTTTTCATTTTTGGGAATTTTTAGTGTAAAATCTATTCATTATTGGTCAAAACGGCTTACATGTCCATATCTCAACTTTTGATTTACTATTTACTCGTATTTAATTGAAACAAATACAGGGTGGTGTAGAATTCTGACTGAAACTGAGAATTCTACACCACCCTGTATTTGTTTCAATTAAATACGACTAAATACGGCGTCAAGATGGAAGAAGTTATATTGTCTAGTTTCATGATTATGAATTTCAGAATTCCGTATCAAAATAATATTCGACTTCAATTTTTTATTTATGATATTATATGATATTTTGAGAGTTTCAATTCTATATATTTCATCTAAAGAATACGTATTTGTTATTTCATACAATTGATTGGTTGGTGTATCAAATGGGAGACGATACAATAATTTTAACGATTTTCTATATAATGTTGATATTTTATTGAAATTATTTTTCCAATAAGATCCCCAAACATTTATTAAATAGTTGATACGACTCAGTATATGAGAGTAGAGAATCATGTTTGCAATTTTAATATCAAGTTTGGGACATCTTCTCAATGCACCAATTATTGGAGATATTTTTTTTGTCAGAACATCAATATGTTTGTCCCACTTCAACCTGTCATCAAACCAAATACCAAGATATTTTATCTGGTCAGTTTGTTTCAAGAGTTCATTTTTTATGTTAAGGTTGAGGCATGTTGAGGTGAATTTTTTGTTTATTTTTTTGGTGAAAAATCATATATTCTGTTTTGTTAGTATTTATCGATAAAAGGTTAGATTGGAGCCATTTTTCAAATATTTTCAAGTCTTCATTTATCATATTTTCTAAATCTGAAGGATTCTTGCCTTCATATAAAAGTACTGTATCATCTGCATACATGGTATATTCACACGCTATATAACAGCTATTTATAAACCAAGGGAAGAAAGGTACCCATTTCTTCCCACATGTGGAGTTTAATGCAGGACACATAGAGGAAGCCATTAAACACACATGTGAGGAAATTAATCTTTGCTCCCATCATATATATATATTTCTTTTGAAGCATCATTCTTGAAATTGTGCTTCAGGTGGTCTATGCCTGGATCAAAATCATTATGCATTACAAAGGTATTTTGTTTAACTCCATTTGAAACTTTTGATCAATAATAAACCTATGACATCATTGGAATTCAGAAAGGATATTAATTCATGCTGAAGCCAATGTATTTTACTTCCCAAGGGAGTTATTTTTTTCCTCCTTTGGGAGTAAAATGATAACTTTGATACCTTAAATGAGGAAGCAATTGCCTACATTTGATTCAGTGAGTAGATAAATAAACTAACCTACATGATGCTTGTCAATCAATACCTTCCACCTATTTACCTACCTAGGCACCAGTCTGCCTACTAGGCAGACTATATGAACAATAATGGCTGATAGTAGATACTGAATGATACATTTTATTAAAATAAAATGGTTTTCAGGATTCCTAATAAGGGTGTCAAATTAAAAGATCAATAAACATCCTTGAACTCAATTATTATGATCTGATCAGTGATTTCAAGTTTAGATGATGAGCAAACTGCCTCTCACTTCTTGACAAATATTTGGATACCTTGTGGCCCTCCTTCAGCTGTACAGGTAGACACATGTTACATTTTGGACAATGAAAAAATTTGTCAGCTCCACCAATGCGACAGATGCCACATCCACCACAGTGAAACTGTTTTTTATCTTCATCATCAAACAAATTACATTCCAAACAAGTATACTGAAATAAATAATAACAAATCTCAGACTACATGAACATTCCATATTTCTATTGAAATATTAACTTGAGTACCTTTCCAAAGCCTACATTGCAGTTCACACAATTTGCTTGAACTTTTTGCCTAGTATCACATAAACTGCAAATCAATTCTGTCACCTCTTTTCTGTTGATAACATGATTTTCCTTCTCATCATGGCAGAATCTACATGTATACACTTTCATGCAACATGGAGTCTGAAATAAAATAGAAACATAATAACAATGAGTATAATATCTAACTGATTTGAGCCCAGTATATTCAAGTAGGTCATATTAGAATGTTCAGGAAATTCTTAGGAATCTGTTGAATACAATAAAAGATTAGGGAAATGAAAATTCAGAGAGAATCCTCAGGAAACGAAATTATAATTAACCTCACAGACTTACAACAAATTTTGATTTCCTTTTATAATGAGAACACCCAATTTGTTTTATTGATTCTTCTGGAGGACCCTCAGCAACTGGAGTAGAAACTGTATCCATATTCGAATCCTTTTCTCATTCAAATAACAGCGTTATGGAATAGTGATTTGACCACGACCTGATATAATTATTATCTACGTTCTCCGATTTACAGTTAACATTTAATTTTATTTCAAACAATATTCAAAATATTTCTATGGATTTCTCAAAAAAAAAACAACAAAATATGTTATGATGACTGCACTATGAGAGTGACTTTTGACTCTTTCGACTATTGAATTGACATAATTGACATCAATTGACATGACGTCATGACGAGGAGGTGTTAAGCATATATTTACTATTTCTATATATGGCGCATCGCCTATACGATATCTCAACAAAAATGGGACCAAAATGAGAAATGAGAGGCACTTTCTATACAATGAAGTCAATGAACTCAATATATTTCTATATTGGTTTGACAAGTTTCGTATTATATATTTTCCCTACGTCAGAATCAATACCTTGAATGCTTATTTATAGCATTAATCTATGTTTATAGATAACTTGATACCTATAACTTTTTATGCACTTCGGGGATTTGAAGGTTATTACCTTCATTCCCTATTTTCGGATCTGGATCTGGATCACCATAGTTATTGAGATAGTTGATATGGCAACAATCAGCCCCTTCGATGACATTTTAGAAATAAAGTACCTACCGTTTAGTCAAGGTTCATTAACTTTTATACCGTTCAGTAGCATTTGATTTTTTTCGTTATTTTCAACGCATTCCACCTTTCCTCAAGTGCATAAAATAGTATATTCACCTCAGGGCTAAAGTGGATTCAAATCCCTCGACATTGGTCAGGCTATTATTACACTTTTTGTCTAGGGATTTAGAATACCACTTTATTTCCTAGCTGTATAATGTACTATTAATAAATTGACGAATATCTGTGAGAAGTGTGGAAAAAAGAAACAATTATTGTAATGGAATCACAGGTTTCATTAAGCACTTTTTCCAATGGGTACCCCTTCATCATTGAATTTGTCAAGTACTTCAAACAAAATTATGAATTCTGGAAAGTAATCTCCTTTATTTTCTGGAAACCTTCAACTTCTCATCACGATTTGATGATGATGATTATTTTACCACTAAAAATTTAGTTTTCAAACCTATCGAGAATTTTTGCACTGAGCAATGACGGCTAAATATCTATACTGTCTAACGGGGTAGCCGTCATTGTACTGAATTCTGTGGTACTGAGCTCATGTGTGAACCAGTTTTCCAATGGAATTCAGAACCCGACACCAGTGTCACCATATAATATGTACTATTTCTTCATATGGCTCATCGCCTCTATATCTCAAAAAAATGGGACCAAAATGAGAGGTATTTTTCGAATCTATAAGGACGGAAAGTGAAGGATGGAAACAGCTCGTATTATTCTTTCTCTACGTCGGCATCACCAATGGAATACGAAATATGCACTCAGTGCGAGGTGCGAGCCATGTTTTATCAAATGGATTTTTCACAAGTCCTGTCAATTGTCAATGGTCAATGGTCATTGTCATTATATTATATAAATATATTTCAGGTTAGAAACAGGAAGAGTTCGATTTGTTCATTCTTATCGTATATTCATCGTAATTCAAATTCAATATTTCATTATTTATTTCATAAGAAATATTCAATAAGCTCTCTACTGTGATTCAATAGAGATGAGTCGCAAAGAAGCTTTGTCTTCGTTCATTCAGCAAATCCACGCTAGGCCTGTTGTTGTGAAACTCAATAGTGGAGTGGATTACAGAGGTGGGATCATCTTCATATCTCTAGAAATAAAAACTTATCATTAATTTTTTTCAGGAGTTCTAGCTTGTTTGGATGGATATATGAACATAGCACTAGAACAAACAGAGGAATATGTGAATGGTCAATTGAAAAACAAATTTGGGGATGCTTTTATAAGAGGAAACAATGTTCTTTACATAAGTACACAGAAAAGGCGATACTGATATATGGTATTGAAAAATATATTTTTTTTAAGAATTTTAATATTAAATAATTTTTCGTAAGACTAAAATACTGATTTAGTTTTTTCATTTTCATTTACTTGGCAAACTACATACATTTATCAAAAACTCATTGAACTCATATTTCAATCTAATGGGAAAGCAATAACAATAAATAGTATCATGAATAGCAATATCTAATCAAAAAAAAATTAGGCTCTAACTTGAATCATTGTCTTGATAAAAAATCCATCAAATGTAGTTTATTTGCCATTCAACAAAGAAAAATATTTCTGATATTTCATATTTCATACAAACCAATCTGTACAAACCAAATGGCCTGGCCTCACAAGAGGCCAACTGAATTGGTAAATTTTTACTTGAAGAAATTTTTCAAATATAGAGTTCCAAATTTATGATCCCCATTTTCCTCACTGCCAATTGTTATCCACATATGCACAAATAATCAATTTTCATGCTCTCTATCTATAGATTAGGAGACCTCTAGTACTTGGCACTGAAAATCGTTAGCACTGTCTGGGTCTTTTGCCAGTGAATTTATTGCTTATAGTTTCTGAGGTAGGATTTGTATTGTTGGCCAGAAACTCTCTCGTGATACAAAAACTAAACGTTCTGGATGTTCTTTGATGTTGATTCAACCTAAATCACCTTAATCCTACAATGCTTCCTTGGGGTTAGCACTCTTTGAAGATGATGCAGTCAAGTACCTACATGGTTTTTGATACCCACCTCACATACCATTATATAAAAAGAATAAGAATGATAAAAAATTGTCCATAATAAATACATTTTCTTCATTATCATCACCAGCAGTCCAATCGGGGAGGGGGGGAAAAACTATGCAACAGAATTTTTATTGATTTTTTACTATATTTCAAGTCAAATTTGAAAACTAACATTCTCCAAGAATTGAATGATGTTGGCATTGTCAAATAACAAAAAAATACATTCATTAATGTCTAATGGGTTTACTTTTGTTGATTCATTATAAATCTATTAAAATATTCCTTTCTATAATTTCATCTTGAAAACTTCAAAGGAAGTAGTTTTGGATTAAGTTAATTGAGGTTAAATCAACATGAAATATGGTAGAGTATGAGATTTCCTGAGTAGGTACCTACTCTGTTCTCTGAGTACTAGAGGAGAGATGAGTTGTAGGAAGGGATTAAAGCCTCGTGAAACCACTATGAATTTCATTTGGCTACATGCAAAAGGTATCTGAATACAAATAGCAGTAGGAAGTCGAATATGAATGAGTAAAAATGATTTATTCAAAAAATAATTTAACATAATCACAAAATGAACAAGTAAAAGTCAGACGCTTACTGTATAATTCATTTTGTATATAGTTATACTAAGAAAAATTCCACCATTCTAATAAGAGATTTGCGATAAATAACAATCATAATTTCAGTCTTGCACAATAGCAAAAAATACAAGCATCTCATATTCATTTTTTTAAAATACAATACGATAGTATAAATTTACCATTTGATTAAGTCAATGTATGACATTAAATGCCAACAACACAGCATTCACAGGAATAAAAAATATTCTAATTTGCTACTGGAAATATCAGTCTTACAGAGTGCAAATCAGTCTCATTCATTGCCATTCAGTATTGCATTATGGTAACTTAAGTATTAACTTTTTTAAATTAAATAAATCTTTAGGTCAGCCAATTTACATCGGTTGGTCATATCGAAAATTCCACTGGTTTTGTGTAGATAACTTCAAGTTATTGTGGCACATCAGCAAGTTTTCTCAACATTACATAAACATATACTATTCAATCAATAAATGAACCAGGAATTTTCGATTACACCATTTAAAATGACCGATACCAGCACAATATATAATTTCATTGCTCAACCCTGTTAAAACATAAAATATTTAGAATTAAAAAAAAAATATAGGTAGTCAACCCGTCATTTCAATTCATGAGGTAGAAAGTATTAATACCTGGAACCAATTTCAATCTGGTCCGTGATTAAAATGTATATAAACATGTAAGACTTAAAATCTTAAGGAAAGCATAATTATGCAAGATGCACCGATTAAAATATACCTAAACACTAGAAACTACATGGAAAACAAAATCGGCCTAGCCAAAGGAAACCGTATACACTAAAAAACTTGTACTCGATTATTTCCGAAATCAACTACGACAATGCGACCTTCTGGATTCAGGCAGATACCACTGGGTCTGTCCAGTTCCCCAGGGCACTTTCCAGGCTGACCAACTTTCCACAAGAAGTTTCCATTGCTCTCGAACACTTGGATCCGATTATTCCTGGAATCAGCCACGACAATGTTACCCTCATCGTCACAGATGACACCTTGCGGTCTCAAAAACTGCTTGAAACTGGATCCCTCCTGGCCGAGAAACTGAGCCTGCAGAAAATGTTGCTCCACAACCACCAGACGATGATTATTAAAGTCGGTCACGATGATATTGCCTTTGGGCGTGAAACATACGCCTCTGGGCGAATCGAAGTGCTTCCACATTGTCGAAGATCCCTCGAACCCGTATTTGTTCAGGAAAGTTCCGTCGCTGGTAAACAGCTGGATACGATGGTTTCTCGTATCTGAAACCACAATCTGCCCCAGTGAGTTACACGCCACATCCCATGGATAGTTGAACTGGCCATTCCTGGTTCCCTTTTCCCCGAAGGTCAGGATGAAAGTGCCGTCAAGTTTGAACACCTGGATGCGGTGGTTATCCTTATCAGCAACCACGACGTTCCCGAGATGATTTATTGCTACTCCGGCCGGTCTATCAAACTGCCCAGGGGCTGTACCCTGACCGCCGAACTTGTGTATGAACTTTCCGCTCGCGTTGAAGATTTGAATGCGGTTGTTGCTGCGATCAGCCACGATGATGTTGCCGAGATGGTCGCAGCAAACGCCCCAAGGTCTGCAGAGCTGGCCGTCGTTCTCACCCTCGCTGCCAAACGTCAAAGAAGGCAGAGGTCCGGTGTCTTTAGCGATCACTGGACTGGCACCGAAAATGGGACGGTTCCTCATGGGCTCCTCTTTGATTTCGCGCTTCGCGAACAGCTGCTGGTCCTTGATGACCGGCGGAGGTCTCACGACCCTGGAAGACATTATGGAAGAACTTATAGATACATTGCCAATGGAGGATATTGCACGCAGGAAGCCATTGTCTGGCGGTAGGAACATTATACCGTCGTCTTCACAGGGGGAGAGTTCCGGTCTCAAGGTCCGGATTTGTTTCAGGTCGTTGGTCGCTCTCTCGTTGATGCCGATTATGTCGAATGCGTTTGTAGCGTCCACGCTTTCGTTTAGAAGGTCGGATGTGCAGGTGAGCTTCGAGAGAGCTACGCGTAGGTTTTCCACCTGAGACATCAGTAGTTTTCCCTTGATTTGTCTCGCTTGGTCGATGCGCTTCAGTAGCTCGATCTCTCGATCTTCTAAGGCAGATATATACCTAGAAACGGAGATAAATATCAAATATAACATTAATCGTGTCGCGGTGCGTCTGATCTTGGAACCAATGGTCCGAGATCGATTACTGCCACTTCAAATTTAACCGTGCTGCCGTATAGAGTTAGTATAACAAGGCCTGGAACCACTGAAAATAAGGTAGGTCCTATTTCAGTTTGATATCGACGAAGCTAACAGTTTTCCAGAAAATTTGATCTGACTGATAAAAGATAAAGTATGAGTCTTTACCAAAAAATTGGAAGGATGGAATTGGATATACTTTGAGCCGTATTTTTTCTCGACTTACAACAAATCAATCAATCACCTTTATTATTCCCAAGAAACAACATTTGTTTATAGCATGGAGCATGGTGAACATATGAATATATTTGACAAAATAAAGAAGACAGTAAAATGAGACTCACACTCAAGAGGAAATAGTTTTTTTCAAGTTCAACTGAAAATGATTCTTAATTTACTCAGCTGTTAGATAACCCGAAGGAAAACTATAGTAATCGTACGAGAAAACAATGAAAATGAGATGAGATGTCAATATTACAGGAGTAGATGTTTCTTGAATTCCTTTCTAAATTTTTCAATCCTAGGTATTAATCAGATTCAAGTTATTTGGTAGTGAATTGTAATGTATCATTCCATTGTGATTGACGGATCTTTTTACCATATCTGATTTAATTTTCTCAACAGAAAAATGACCTACTTGTCTAGTTGTATCTACTACTATGTACAGTCGTCTTCAGAGATCATGTCGCGGTTGGACGGTGTCAGCACTCTTATTGCAGGAGTTATTAAGAATGCTATCATCGTCCACGTGCGACATGTTTTCTGAAGATGACTGTACAGAGTCTTGTTGACATAAATACATTAATTTTAAAGCCTATAACAAGTCTCAAGGTTTACTATCAAATGGCACCATCGAGAAAAAAAAACATCAAAATAGATATAGAAAGTTTTGGGGCAAGACTCATTTTTCCACCAAAAATGTCTACTCATCGAGAGCTCATGGATGGCATATAAAAAGAAGAGAATCGCGAAAAACGAAGCGACGTTGCCAGTTCATATAAAAATGGTAAGATGTTTGGAATTGAATCTTATGTTCAGATGTACATATTCATCGGCTGCAATTACTCCAAAACAAAGCAATGAGAGTTATTCTGAAATGCAATAGATATACTCCGATAATCTCTATGTTAGAAACTCTGAATTTCTTGAATGTTCGTCAACTTATTACCGAGTCATACTTAGTGTTATTATATAAGATTGTAAATAAGCAAGCTCCTGTATATTTAAGAGATTATCTTGTTAAAAGATCTGAGTTGGTAGAATATAATCTGAGATCTGCGGATCATTACCAAATACAAAAGTTCAAGACTAGTGCTATGGAGAAAACACTATTTATCGATGGTTTGAAGGTGTATAATGGCTTACCAATAATAGTAAAAACATCACCAAATGTCAAATTCAGAACTAGATTAAGGCAAATGTACTTCAATAATCAATAACATTGTATGTTCTTAAAATAGTATTTATTGTAAATTATATGTTATGTAATGGCTAATGAGCTAAATAAACATCTATTCTATTCTATTCTATCACTATAATATCAAAAAATATATATTTCAAGAAAATTCTGAAACCTGTGACGGAGTGATCGAGAAAATATAACAATAGAGTTAATATATATAGTCATCGACAATTAAAGTAAACTTTTGAAAAAAATTATAATACTGAACATATTGGTAAGTTATATTTTTATATCATTATATACATCATATTATTGTATTCGATTTGAGAGATAATGTCAATTCTCAAATTCAGAGGATTTTGATTTTTCATGCTCACTTTTTGGATATTCAACAATGTCCGACGTGGCAAATAGCCAGGAAAGTAGTTGTTTTCTGTTGAATATTCAGAATGATATTATGTGCATTTCTTTATATGAAGGAGAATGCAAATTCTCTACTTCAGAAAATTTTGTTTTTAAATTCTTATCGTGTGTTCAATAGATATAATTCAATATGTTCGTCGTAGCATATAGCCGGGAAAGTAGTTGTTTTCTGTTGAATAAACCGAGAAAGAATTGCTATTTTCATCAAATAGAGAATGCGAATTCTCAATGTATTTCTTTATATACGTAGGGATCCATTTTTATTATGTTTTTTTTTTCATTTATTTATTCTATTTTTATTTTATTTATTGAAAATATTACTTCCAGTCAGAATCAAGTCCTGGTACAAGGAAGTATAGTTAACAATAATACCTAAAACTATACAATATTATGATGAACTAATAAATAATATAATATTTGAAAACATTAAGTATTAAATTTTGACAAATCATTTCATATTGGTGAGCAAAAATCAATTTGAATATGAATCAAAAGTTGAGAAAAAAAAATCATCTATTTCTTTCAGAAATGATAAATTTTTTAAGTTGGTATTTGAATTTTATTGTATTTCTGCAATTTTTTATATTATCTGGTAATTTGTTATATCTGAGAATATTCCTCTTCAATTATCTTACCTTCTCATAACGCTTCGAATTTCGGTAGCCGCCTGTATGGACCTAAGCTCCACGTTCTCGGACATACGTTGCACGTTGTCTATCGCTTCTCTGACGGCCATGATGGCCGTTCGGGTTTCGGTGTTCAGTTTTTGATTCGCAACTTTGGCCGTTTCGATGGCATCTTCGATGTAGGTGAGCTGGTGGCCGCAATGGTCCTCCATCAGGCATTCCGTGCACGTGGGGGTGATGCATGTTTGACAAAATAACCTGTGAGGTTCTCGATGACTATCACACAAATTGTTGATTGCATTGTTGCAAGGACTTGTACTTATCTAGGAAAAAACAATAGTAGGTAAGTCTCAAATAAGGGCTCACCGTGAAATTTCAGGGCTCTAATAAGCTACTACCCAGCGAGCACAAACATCCCTGGGATGTTTTGAAAATGTTGGCATGAAGATGTTATTTTGAGACGTAATATGCACTGACCAAAGAGGTCTTTGAAGGATATTGAAGTATTGTTTTTGTTCTTCTGTGGCATTCCTTTGTTTACCTACTGAGAGGTATCCCTGGGATGTTTTGGGATGTTTTAGAAATGTAGGCATGTGAATGTTTTTTTGAGGCGTAATATGCACTTCCCAAAGAGGTCTTAGAATGATATTGAAATTATTGTTTTTGTTCTTTTGTGCCCATTCTTTGTTTGCCCCACCACAACGTCTCATGCTTACGTCACAATACGATGAATTCTGATTTGTTTTCGATTTTGTTCTCCTTGTTCGCAATTGGCATTCTCGTTTGCAGCGTGTCACGCTTACATCACGCTGCTAACGAACAGAAAGGAATTTGGTGAAGTTTATTGTGTTAGAAGACTTATTTAGTTTGTAATAATGACCATCAGATGCAAGATGTGTTGTTCGGTGCCTCAGTGTAATCAATATATAAAAGTACGAATTCATCAATACACAGCTTCTCCGCAGTTGCAAATAAATTATGCATTGTGGAGAACATTTCAAAAATTGGGAAACCTATTTCCAATTATATGTCTGTGTGTAGTAAGCACTACTCAGAAACCGATTAAGAAGGTAATTTCATATGAAGAAAATATTTTTATGTTCAATCTATTTTTAATGCATATTTTCATTCAAGGGAAATGGAATCCTAATGCAAAAGTTCATTTTGACAAAAGGCTTCAGAAAAGTACCTCGAAAATGGTTTTTTTACAGCGATTTAATGTGCGCAAGACGCAATGAAAAAGTTCTATTGTGTCCATGAAAAGGCTTCAAAAAGAACTAAGGAGAAGGTAGTTTTGTGACATATCAAGGACATCTCGATATTTGCCGCCTGCGGCGGACATTTTGGCTGTTCTATAATAGTTCTATTCATGTGTGAACAGAACATCGCAGTGGAGGTTCAATGTCTCGAAATCTCGTACTTTTAACATCTCTGAGATGTTTTTGTGCTCGCTGGGTATAGATTCTGCGGAGACCATAAGGTCAATCTGGAAAAATATCAACACGTTTATATTTCAGAAATTTGGTTCGGCATGATTTGTTTGATGAGTTTTTGAAGTATTATTTGAGATCTACCATACAATTCGTACCCTAACAACACCAGTACATCCTAGGTGATCCTTTGTGATTGCTTATAGAGACTCTCTGTTACTCCGGTATATTACATCATATCTTCTTTGTCCATTAAATGATGATCAAAATAAGAGAGAAGTTTTCCGGGTACTGTTTCCGTGTGATAGCCCGAATAAGCCTATCTTACAATATTACTAATATAGATAAAAACATGTTGAATTCAAAGAAGTGTAATGAATATAGTATACCACACACCGAGGTGTGAAGTGATTCATTCCTGTCGTGAGATTAGTTAGTTAACCCAGACGCGAAGCGTCATTACTGAATGAAATATTGAGAATTAAGAAACTCTGAGATATTCATCAGTCAGTTTATATCTTACTTGAGATGAGGATCCTAGAGATCCAGCACTGGTGGTGTGAGGCGGCGTAACAACTGAACTGGTAAACCTGGAAATCCTGTGATCTTTGGTCAATCGAACTCTTCGATGTGCTCGAACACATGTATCACATAGTCGTTCGCTGCAATCCATGCATTTTGAAAATGCGGAGGCACCCTCTTCACAATTCCCGCATAACGAAACATCTTCTTTTGTCACAGCCTGAAAAAGAGTTGATTTTGAATTTTTGGAAAATTTTTGTCGGCGCTCAAGTACGTATTTTGATGCTTGGAACACGGATCCGATATCGAGATGATTAAAAAAACATAATAATTTCATCATTCAAGGATTTCAAGGTATCCATATTCAGTGGAAAGATTGAGGAACTATATGACGATTCCTGGAAAATATATAGGATGTGAATGAATAGGTGCGAAAATATATGAAAAAACAAAGATTTTACCTTAACGGGTTATAGCTTTTTGGGGTATCTGAACTGATTTTGATCTCATTAATCGCCCTTCTTCATATAGACTAATTGGTTACATAACTTTAGCAATCTCATTATGGATTTGTTTTCTTTGCTTACTGCAATAAGTGAGTGTATAGGGTAAAGTGGGGGGATTGCGGCCCCATAAGCATTTCTCGCTGTAGCGATGGTGATTATTGGTTTATATAAACGGAAGATATATTAAGTTGAAGCCCAGATATCATTTAAACAGAATTTATTTTGATTTCGAATGAATATTCCTACGTAAAATCGTAAAAGTTACTATAATCAAAAAAACAAAATGTCGTTTTGGACGGCATTACCCGCACCTTGGGGGTAAATACGGCCAGAGGCCTTCTCCGCCCGTACAATATATTTTGTGAGCCCACCTTGCGCACATCACACAACTCAACCAGAGCTCATTTTTTTTTCAGAACTCGCCATAGATTATGCCAATATCTTCATCTCCATCTGAAGTCTCGTCTTCTTCTTCAGCACCACGGTATCCAGTTTTCTTGGTATTCGTGGTTTCGTGCAAAGGTCAGGCGCTTTTGGAATTAACGTATTTGTTTCTTCAACAGTTTGATCACTAATTCTCCAAAACACTTTGGTCATTTTTAGTTTTTCATTTTCCCTCTACTCCAGAAGGTCTCTATTTGTAGAAGCAGTTGAAGAAATGGAGTGTTATTGTTTTTTGCTTCATCCTTCTATTGTGCGATGATTCTAGGTTGAACATCCATGAACAAGTATTATTTCGCCGAAAGAAAAATGTCATTCTTTCTCACTGGTTCCTGTTCAACCGGTCTTGCAGAGTCGTTCTTGGGATACCAAAGCATCTTGCAACTATATCCTCAATGTACAACCATGGTTTGAAGCATATTTAGAGTAGGTTGCAAACTGTTCGCAGTCCAAGAAGTTTTTTAATTTTTTCCGCGTATTTCCGTGGCATATTTCATCAGGGGTAATTCCAGCCTGGCTGCTATTAGCTCTCCTAAGTCTATGAATATTGTTTTCAACATTTCAGCACTTACTGACTAATGGATACATTTCCTTTAAAAATGATTGTTCCTTTTATAGCAAGGAGTGATTTTTGAGGGAATCCGTGGTAAAAAATTCACGTTCACGTGGAACTGTGGAATTCAAAATGAGGACCGTACGCGATCAGACAGTGCGGCTTGTGGTATATTCCACATAGTTTTGAAGAGATTAAAGAGTACCGAGAAAATCTATGGGCGGTATTTCCCCACTTTACCCTACCAACAAAAGTTTTCAGTAGAGGAAATATTTCATTCTTAAAAAAATCTTGATATAAATAGGTATAGGGTACTCACCGAAATGATGTCCGTTATGAAGTTGTCGATGGAAGATTCTGAGGAGGTGGTAGCACCGATTGAGAGAGGTAGAGATGAAGATGTAGAGGTAGGAAAACTTGAAGTTGTGAGGCAGGACATTTTTCTTTTCTTGTCTGTTTGGTGGATCTATGGTAACTGTGGTGGTAGGATGAAGAACTGCAAAATGAATAATATCTTCTTTTAAACTTTGCGATCTTCTTTGAAGTAGCTTTGTACATGAATTTTGATTGTTGAACGTAAAATTTGAAACGGCGGTTATTCCAACTTGAAATTTCAATTTGACTGACAGCTTTGGTTTCCGTGGTTACTTACCTAAGTCTTAACTGTTAATAAGTAAAGGCAGTTGATATGTAAGATGCCTGCTATTCTTTTCCAGCAAAGTCAAGAAAAACTTACTCTAATCTAAATAAATTATTGGTCATCATGCAATGTAATTTCATACCTACTCAATGCCAGGACATTATATTTTATTATAGGATACTAGGTACCTATACAGGTTGAGTCAGGATAAAACCGACAAACTCCGTAAACAGATTCTTTGCCTCATTTTGAAGTTAAAAGTGTCTATCAACGTATGCCCTAAAATGCGTCCCCACTGAGATTCAGGGTGTCAAAAAGAACAAAAAAAAAAAAAGGTAAACATTAACTTTTACGGAACCCCTGGAGCAAAAAAAAAAAGAAACTTGGTAGTCAGTGTAGTCATATGGAGTTTCCATTCTTGAATACTGATCACCAGTGGCCTAATTTCGTTCGTATGATTCTCCTTCAAATTTTTTCTTTGACAGATGGAATTTCAAATCAGCTGGATGTCATCAGTTAAGCTTATCGATACTCGACCTAAAAGTTATTACATTTCTGAAATATTAAAGAAATGTCTTGAGATAATAGTACTACGTGTTGAAGAAAAATATTGTAATGCTCAATTTTCATCACCTATTCAATGTAAAATGTTCACCTTGAGATAACGTATGAAAAAGAAAGAGTTTGTCGACCTACTTCTGACTCACTAGTCACTCCTACTATGTTTCCAATGTTCTCAACATTCAAGAATGTTCAGGAGGATGAGATATGTTCCGATATCTTGTGAAAAATCAGCTTTATGCCATCATGACACGCAACAAATTGAATCTCTCTCAATATCACCTACTTCAAGTCATATCCTTAGATTTTAGCAAATATTCAGTGGCGGGTTATAATCGAGGCACCAAACCAATGAGCGCAAGTTCCTCAGTTCAATTTATGAAAACTCTGTATACAGGGTGGCAAACACTGAGGAAGCTCGACGTGTACTATCGAATGGCGCTAATAAAAAAATTCAGGGATCAAAAGTGGCATACTTGATTTTTTCTCGTATTTTGTTCAGTATTCGGGATGAAATTTCTCGTTAATTAGAAGAATTAGAAAAAATCTGATATCATGGGAATATTCCTTAGACTGTATCATATTAATGTGCTGAATATGTGCATTTATTTCGAAAACACCTTGGTGCGCCTTTGGCTATTGTGAGGATTTTTTTCAGCATCTCAAATCATGAAACTAGAGCCGCCAATCGCCAATGATGCACATGTAGTTCGTTATGTACTCCCATCATGCGGTGATGCACTATATCCAACTCAGTTGTAGCGACAAAGGTTTAATGTGTGTATATATGAACAGGGTGGGCTAAATTGGTCACTTTTAAGGGGAAAGTTCAATTCTCCAACAAGATAGAAGAAAACTGATGTCTGTGCCTGATGGTATCGATTCTCATCCAAAACTCAATGATGAAAACCGCATAGAAAGGAAGAAAAAAATCAATATTCATATTCATATTCATATGATGCATCCTTTCAATTACCATTGAGATCAAAAGAGGAAAACACTGAAACCAATGAGAATAAAGTTGAAGGTAATCGTAGATACTCTATTTATTCTATTAAACAGTGACATCTTCTGTGTTCTCAATGAAAATATATTTGAATACTACTCATGCATTCATTCCTAGAAACGAAATAGAAAATCCTAAAAATCTCGAGAAATAAACATTCACATATACTCACTCAGCCTATTATTATGCATATTCTTGTTGTTAGTTATAGATTATTATATCAATTGAAAAAAAAATGATAACATGAAAATGGACACTATAATAATAATTATGGAAGAATCTAGTTTTAGATTTGAAGGCATTTGACCCTGAATCCCAGAAAAATATTCGCCGGCGGCGCATCCTTAGCAATACAGTTTTTCTGGGACCCTTGCTCTCTACTTGGTATTCACTGAAATGACGCCACTGATTTTAATTTCTTTCTATTCGACATTTATTTTCTGAATATAATGATGTATGACGAGTTGACTTTTGGGAAAAATTAGTTGAAATAAAAAAAATGCTCATTTAACAAGAATTAGACATTTTCTCTGATATTTTCAATAAAGAGAAGGGGAGCTGGAATATATTGCGCCTCAGTCTGCGAGACGCCTTAATCGGCCGATGAAAATATCTCAGGAACCCCTACATTTAGGCATGTGAAATGTCATTACTTTCAGGTGGAGCATCAATGAGCCTAACCGATGTCACACACCAATTTGAAATTCAATCTGTCTGAGTAAAAATATGAAGGAAAATGTGGCGACATACGACCGTAACTATACCAATGGAAATCAAAACTCAAAAATAGAAACTCCATGTGATTACATTAATTAATCTGGGATAGGAAGGGTTTCGAAGAAACCTTGCTTTTTTTCGTACTCTTAAGACCCTGTATCTCAGAGATGATGGATTCCAGGACATACGTTGTTTAAAACTCCACACTTCAAAATGAGGTAAGGAATCCGTACATGAAGTTTGTTGGTCTTATTCTGACTCACCCTGTATGGTATTTCCTGATTATCATCCGGAAAATCAACTATAGCCTCCGTGAAATAATCTTCAACTGATATTTTCTTAGGTAGTAGCCTTGATTATATACACTAATGGAGTAGGTACATATTATTATCAAATATTATAATTTCGTAATTTTTGTAATACAGTTTCATGATCTGAAATTCACATACAGATTCTTCCAGTGAATTTCGAATTCTACCTGGGTACAGGTAGATAGTTTTTCAGACAAATTTTAGTTGCACTTGCATTGAAACCCCTCTATTATCCTCACAAAATAGGTACAAAATATTTTTCATGACCTGCTCTGTGCACATAATACCTTTTATGAAATTTAAACAGATGTGCACTAGTGCACGAAGTGTGTTATTTTTATTTTATTTCTCTACGAGAGATGAGAAAGTGTTCTCGGTCCACTTGGGGCTATGATAGGGATTTAGTATATTTGACGTTTATTTGAACGTCCAAGTTCTTTCTCTATTCATCTTATATTTTGTGAATTGATGAAACGGAAAATTCACCAAGATAGCAGATATTGGTGGTTTGTTATTGAATACGGTTGCTCGTCCGCCAAATTTCCAAATTTACAGAATTTCAAGACCCACCAAACAAATACGGTTGCTCGTCCGCCAAATTTCCAAATTTACAGAATTTCAAGACCCACCAAACAAAATAATCAGAATAAAAATGAAAACATGTATGTTTAGTTGTAAAAATAGTTCATACTCGCCCATTTGAACGTTTGCTATATACCTACTTATGAATAGTTTGTGACTTGGCAACCTTAAATGAATTAAGACTGCTAATTAATGTTTTTGTTATGTAGGTAATGAATGATGGGCCAGATGAAATTAACTAATATGGGTTGAAGCCCATCCTTAGATTCTAAAAAGATTCCGTAGCAGGTCATTTTTACCATGGACCCAAAGGTTCACTGAACCGCTGATATTCCCACCCCAATGAGAACATTTTGAAGAAAAATGCAATGCAAAAATGTAGGTAGTTCTTTTCTACCTGCCAAGCTGTTATTATATCTTGTTCTCGTATACAAGACGGGTACAATCAGGGCCTACCGTACAATAATAGAGTTTATTTCTGTAGTCTTTGATATTAGGCATCTATAGCTATAGGCCGCATAGAGTAGGCAGGTATATAGATATAAGTATGAGGTTTAATTTCGAATCACTTTATAAAATGGAGTAGTTACCAACATATTATAAATTGAATTAACTCATATATATGTATGCAATAGAACCAGAAGCAGATTATAATCTAATGAGAACATCAATGAAGTGGACCGGAGCTTAGAAATACCATGAAATACTTTTCTACGAGAAAAAGAAGGATAAAACTCTACTATATTTCAAAGTTTGGAAACCAAAGGTTGTGTTTGAAGAAATGGAAAAATATATCTATCATATAACCTTGGAGCTTTTGAAAAACTGAGACAATTGTATTTTGTATAATACAGGGTGAAGACTTCAAGTGGAATAATTTCCCAACTGGCTTGATTGAAAAAAAAAAAACTCAAACTCTGCATAAAATATAATGCATAGTAGTGAACTTCCCAATCGATATTTGAATCAACTTTTTTTTCGAAATTGTAATCACACCAAAAGTGATAGAGGGTGATGGCTTATTTTGAAATTGAAGACCTTTATATGCGCATACTAAAAAATGATGGGTTATATGTATAGGAGTAAAGACAATGCTTTTCCTAGAGATTGATTCTGTTTTCATAAATTGTGTTCATTAATTATTTAGTTTCCCAATGAAGTTTCCGCATCTGAATTATCCTTGGACACTGGACTATTGACTTCATATCGTTATGGACCATCATCTTCTCTAACACTTTGTTAGATTTATTTATGTAGGTATTCTTGGAAATATTGAAATTACTATTGTTGTTCATTACAGGTAGATAGTATACTATTCAAAATCTTTTAGAATTATTATACCATTCAACCATTCACAACTTGTCGTTTCAATTATTGGTATTTCACTTTATTAACAAACCTTACCAGGTGTTACAGTTGACTTTCCTATACCATTTTCATACCTCCTATACCTTTACCTATACCAATAAATTCACAAACAGCACAAAACGTCCGACCTTTCCAAGTAAAATATGATAAATAGACCATATTTCAGTTGCGCGAAGAGTTAGATATTTTGTGTCTTTTTTAGGAAGCATAGTTAATGACAAATTATGAGGATTTACATTGGCAATACATTGTCT